ACAGGGGCGCGAAGACAGGTCCTTCGGGGGTCCGTTGGCGCCTAGATATGCCTACGAAAGCTGTGGTTTTCGCGGGCCCCCCTCCTCTAAGTGATGAGCTCTGTGTGCCTTCTGAGCGTTTAGCCTCCTGCAATATTGTGTGTTTCTGGAGTGGCGTTGTCTGAGAATTGACACCCTTTCAGGGCCTTCGTTAGGAACGTTTTATTTCTCTCTCTGCAAAGGTGTCGGCCACTTTACGCGTCGCCCTCTTACGTGTATCAAGGCGTTTCCGCGAAGGAGATACCCCTCCAGCTGGTGTTGTATCCAGGCATCCCGCCCGGTAGGTTGGATCCACGAGCGCCGATCGTTTTCGATAAGGGACGCTTTGAGGCACGGTGGCAATGGGAGGCGTCCGGATCTGTTGACTGCGCTGTCCGCGGATTGTTGTCACTACACGGAATGGGGTGGCTAGGGCGTCCTCAAAGAACACGGGACGACTAACACCACTGCTGCCGCGCAACCTGCCTCCCATGGTGTGCTGCATCTTTCTCTAAACGTACGGCTGCTGGAACGTGCACGAGTGCGTGCTGAGCTACGTCTCCAGCACCTGCTGCTGCTGCTGTGATTAATTCGCTTTGTACCCGGCACCAGCAAGTTTGGCGCGTGTCTCACATCGTTGGGATCCCCGCGCAGTCCAGCGGAAAGGTCGCGCGATGCGTCCTCCCAGCGCTCTTGGCTTGCAAACAGCCTGTCGGTGGTGTCGCAGCGAAAATATCGCCGCGAAAAGAAGGAGCGCTGTGTTGAAACACTCATTGGCGGGCCATGCGCCCTCCCGGAATAAAATAACCTTTGGAGTGACGAGCCAGCGCCTACTGGATGCTTCTCTTACCAACGACAGTATTTATGCCATACTTGGAACGTACACACCGCCTTGGGCGTTCGCCACCAACAAAGAGCGGGATGAACACGAAGTTCTGGTCCTTGGAAAACGAAGTACACGGTATCCTTGTTCGCAAGAATGGTGCGGCTACTTGTTTGAAAGAACTGCAGTGTGTGTGCTTTGCAGTTCTCGACGTCTTCCCTTGTGCCTGCATGGCCTCCTTACTTCTTTCGAAGAGCACTCACTCAGGTGTCTAACCCACACCAGTGTTTGCGCTTAAAGTTGTCTCTCTGTCGAACTCAACCAAATCCGCGTGCCATTGCTAACGACAAATGGGCTGGTAGACCCCCTTTTCATCACGGATGGCAATAGGGGCACAACGATTCGTACCTTGCGCGAGTCTTCAGCGCGGCTCGATCGTGAGGTGCCTCATCAACGCACACCGTCAGGTCCCGCAGTGCCCCGGCGATATCGCCAGATCTGTACCTCACCCGCCCTCGCAGCGAGTAAGCTGACCAGTAGGTGGAGGTATGTTGCTCGATTGACTGGGGTGTAGTCGGGCGTAAAATAAGTCAGCTTTCGGGTACTCGGAAGAATATGGAGATACGAAGCAAAACGGCGGAACACAACAGGAGCTACTGCACGTTCCCACATGAGCAACCCTTTACATGATAGCCTACGTGTGTTATCCCCAAGGTTTCATTTATTTTCCTGATACACCGTAGGCCAGTAGGCCAGTATCACTCTGCCTGCTACTGTATCCTGCGGCCCACAGAGCGCGGCGATATCTTGCCCTACCCCCAGAGCACATTAGACCGTGTTGATTTATGATCCAGGCTGAACGAGGACGTCGCGGTTTGGACTGAACCATCCAGGTCTCTCCACCAACCTCGGTAAGGTAGTGCATGGCATCTTCGAACCGCCCGCCTTGGACGGCCTCCTCGGCGATTGCCTGCAGGCGCCGAGACTCCAGAATCGGCGCCCTCCTTGCTCGTGCTCTCTTTGCTCGCGCGCGACCCAAGCACCCTCTTTGCGTGATGACCCGACGCAACGAGTTGAAGGGGCCATCCAATGATGCGCAGAAACGTTGCGCGGCCGTCGAAACGGAAGGGTGGTAGGCGTAAGAAAGCGCCACGTTGGATAAACAAGGTTTGTGTACAATTTGCCCAGGCCTACAGACAACCAACCGGACAGGCGTTTCCCGACACGGTTGATTGTCGGGAAAATTGTGGGGAATCGAGGGGCGTCCGGAGCAGAACTGGCTGGACTACCTGGAAGACGACATCGAGGAGTTCAGTGCCACAGACGAATCCACGGAAGACGACAAGAGAATGTTCGGGGTTTCTCGTGCCTGTTGAACTCTCACAGCGAGGGTGGAGGAGGGCGTACGGGGGTGCTATTGAGGGTGGAGAATAGGCGACTCTTTCGTATGATTTGCCTTGATTGGTTGTCTTTGATTACCTATTCTTCTTTTCCAACTTTTCTCGATATAGCGTGCCTAGCGGGAGCGGTGGGCTCTCTTTCTTTTTGCCTGGATGGGGCGTCCCTGTATCCTACATTATTATTTAATAGTTTCCCGGTTCGCTCGCCTCCCGGTTTATCTGTGTGAGGTGCTGTTGCATGGTGTCCGTGAGAGGATTTTCTGAGTCCATTTTTTATTCGGTTGGTTTCTAGAAGTGTGCACCCTCTTCGGGTAGTTGGCCTGTAACCACCGAAGGCGCCAGCGTCAGTTGGGCCAGTACGGATACTACTGTAGGAGGTACTGAACAGAGACCGGAACGATTTTATGGTGAAGCAAACAACAACAACATGGATTACACTTGAGACTAAATCGTGCTTTATGTACGTGGTCTTCAATGGCAGAAGATTCCCAATTATTCTAGAGCCGCTGAACGGGGAAAGTTGGCATGGGGCCCCTACCTCTGCAGCTACAACATACGGGCATCCCGCCATACAGTCAACCGTCCAGAGGCATCGACGGAACATGGTATACACACTCCGGATTGGCGCACCGCCGGCGGCTCGGCACTAGACGACAGACTATATGCGTACAGTAGTAACAAATTCCTTCGCTGATCCTGCTCTCCCATCCATGCAAGGGCACCGATGTGGATGTTGGCACGTGTCTCGCTTCTTGCTCTGGTCTCCTCTTCTCTACAGTAGTTGCGGCCCGCCGTGAAGAAAATTTCCTGTTTCTGGTGTAGGAAAAAAGACTCAATTTACACTGGTAGTTGGAGACTCGATTTGCCCTGGGCAGAGGAAGACGCCCGAGAAGGAACACTTGATAAATTCATATGAACGCTAGCTGTGTTCATCGGGATCGTGGCTCACCGATACCATGCCTGCACTCTCAGCGTAGCCCTCTCCCACTTCGGCAGTTTTCGGGCCCACCTCCACTCCAACCGCTGAATCTTTCGTTGCTCTGGTGTTTTATGCAGCAGTAGCTCGCGGTAGTCAACTTCATCGTTGTCCATTGCTCTGTTTTGGCATCTATGCAGGCTAGGCCAACATGAACAACAGGAGGATGATGAGGTGATTGTGCAATACATCAGAACAATCGCTGTCGCCCGTCCGGTGCTCCACTCGAGAACGAGCTCGCCGAAACGGCAACAATTCAGCCGCATATTCGCCGCCGGTACACATAGTCTTTCAGTCTTTCTGTGTTTGTATTTATGTTTCCTAAAATGTAATGGTACTGCAGGATTGGCTGGGGACTCTACGATAGTCATGTCCGCTCCATATCGCAATCATATTGCATTCAGTTGTTCACAGCACTCTGGAGGGAAGTGTGCGGTTTCCCCAAATAGCCTAGTCTATACTTCGAGTGTGATGGATGGATGTGGAGACGAAGAAGTACGGTGAGGTTGAGAGTGGAGCTTTGACGGGTGTTTCGAGGTCCTTTCATGCTCTCGAAGAAAGTGAAGATTATATGTTTGGGCTATTTGCTGTCCACGAGGGATAATCGAGGGGAACTGGAAAATAAAAATGATCACAGCACGCCGAGACATCGCCAATGAGAAGGGGGGGGGGGGACCAAGTCTTTCTGTGCCATATCCAAGCGCAACAATCATTAATTGTGTTGTTGTGAAATGCTGGGTGGGAAAATGTCAAGGAGGACCCGATTCGCAGGGAATGCGTCGATTGACTTCTACCAGAATCGGTACAATATCCACAAATCGGGCGGTGTGGTCTACGGCGGAACTTGAGGGATTGCCCCGAAATCCACGCCACACGCGCACCGTGCGCGGCGACAGTCATACTACTACTGGTACGTACACTCCGTACAGCACCGGACAGACGCCGGTGTTTATTCTGTTGAGAGAACCAACAATACGGTGGGCGACCACGCACAGACGCGAGATGTAATTTCGTTTCTCTACGCTATAGCGTAGAAACGTAGAAACACTTTAAAAGGGTACGCGAAAAACGTTACGCCCGCAACCCAGGTAGTAACCCCCCCCCATATATTGATGTTCTCCCTATTTGCAAGTGGGGATTTCTGACAAGACCACAAAAAAACAGTTGCTAACAGTCTACATTCGAAAAAGCGACGCGATAGAAATTGAAATTCGGAATATGAATCTTGCCCTAAAAACTGTGCGCCGTTGGCAAACCGCGCATGCATCAAATCACCTACACACAAAATCCTTGGGGTCAATTTCCATTAGTACTCAAGCCCGAACAAGAAACACACCTCTTCGTGAACAAAAATAACCCAATGGTCAACCGAAACACACACGTAGAAGTGCTAGTAAAAATGATGATTGTTCCGTTCCACCTACCCCTCACCAATACTACTTTCCGATAAACATATTAACCGCACCTTAAACTGCCTCACAAAACGCTGTTGCGGGGCGCATGAGTCCCCCTCGAGCTTTCGTCCGGCTCGTCTTCCTCCTCCTCCTCCCTCCATCCCTCTTCCTCACTGCCCCCCCCCTGAGGGTGCAGGGCGCGCTCATTGTGCTCTCCCTCTCGTCGTCTAAGTAAGGTGGTACGCAGTACAGCGTGCACAGACGTGGCCAGCGCGCATGGCTAGCGGGCACGCACATTCACACCTTTCATCACACGGTGCCCCCTTTATATTCATACCATGAAATAATATGATCTTGTCATGTACCATATAGGGATACTGTAATTGCGCTTGGGGGAGTGCGGGTGGTCATGCCGTACCCTCATCCCCTGAAAATGCATCCAAAACAAGAAAATAAGCAAACTACCTACAGTAGGGTGTCGAAAATACTTTAACGCATGCCTTTGGGTGGTCAATTGTTTTGTTACATTTACCGTACCCCCCCCCGCCTCTCTCCCTCTGCCGTGCCCGTCTCCCCTTTCACCCCTGTTTTCATCCCTGTCTCTCTATCCATTACCCCCTCCCCACATCCCGTGGTGTAGAGATTCAAAGAAATGATATAAGGACTACGACATGCATTTTCATGAGTACCCCCCCCCCGTACCTCTCTCTCTCTCCTGGCGTGAGTTCAACACACACCCGCGAAATAGTACTGTCGTACTACTCTCCAAAAGGTAGGAATCAGCCAACCAAGGAACATGGCCAGCAGACTTCTTCAAAGTAAAGCTGTCCCCCTAAAAAAATGGGAACGTTGACGACACGACTGCTGTGTCATTGCCTACGGGTGGACACCTTCATTTCGATCGCCAACGAAAGTAGACTTGCTTTCGCTTTAACGAAAGTAGACTTGCTTCCGCTTGATGGACTCGCGGCCGGCCTGGGTGGCAGCTATGGCTGGGTGTTCAGGATCAAGCGTTTTCTCCTGTATCGACAACGCGCAGTTGAGATGGTTTTCGGCTTCTTCCAGGTTGCCCTCGTCGAAGAAACATCGTCCGATGCTGTACAGGGTTAGTGCAACCCTGGGGTGGTCCGGGCCCAAGTGATCTTCCCTTCCCTTGAGCGCACGGTGAAACAGTCGACGCGCTTCCTCCGTACGCCCTTCGAACATGGCGCATTGTCCCAGAAAATCTAAAGTGTCGCCAATGGGTGGATAGCTACAGTTGTGGACGGAGTCTCCGCCCCCCTTGTGCTCGCCTTCAGCGGTGGTCATGTCCAGCACCCGCCGGAAAGACACTTCGGCCTCCTCCGCTCGACCCGCCTTCAACAGGCACTTGCCCAGCGCGTTTAGTGTGAAGGATATCTTGGGGTGGTGAGCATCCAGCGCCTTCTCGTAGATCGCTAGAGCATGACGGATATGCTTAGCCGCAGCGTCCAGATGGCCTGCCCGGAAAGAGGCAGCCCCTAGCCCGCCGAGGATGTCTGCGAGCTCTACGTCGTTGCGTTCCGTCGGTTTCATCGCCTTTCGGTTTATCTCCTTGATCCCCACGACTCGTTCAAGCAGACCCTCCACCTCCTTGTTGCGCCCCCCCTGCTCCGCCACGCACACAGAGAGGGAGTACAGCACGGTAGCCACCTCCTCGTGGTGTTCGCCTAGGTTCGCTTCCTCAATCATGAGCGATCTTCGGTAGAAATCCTCCGCTTGTTGCATCCGCCCGGCCTGCGATGCACACCTTCCTAAGTCGTACAGGGTATGCGCGATGCTTGACTGGTCAGCCCCCAGAGACCTCTCTCTGATGGCCAGAGCCCTCTTAAACTGCTGCTCGGCTTCCTCGGGCTTCTGTTCGGCTAGAGCGCACGCTCCAAGGCCATGAAACAGCACGGCCACCTCACGGTGGTTGCTGCCGAGAGAGTTCTCCACGCTCACGAGCGCTCTCTGGAACAAGTCTTGCGCTTCCTCGGTGTACCCAGTGTCGAGCAGCACCTGCGCGAGGGCGCGCACGGTTCGCACGGTTGATGGATCATCCACACCCAGGCTCTCTTCTCGGATAGCGAGCGCTCGCCTGTAGAAGACACCCGCAACCGCAGGCTGCCCCGCGTCTGCCATACATCCTCCCAGTGCGTACAGCGTGTCCGCCACTGCAGGGCTCTTGAGGCCCTGCCTATTTCCCTGAATGGACAGGGCCCTCTGGAGGTACTCTTCAGCTTCTCTGGTCTGCCCTGCCGACGAAAGACAGCGTCCGAGGTCGTACATTGCGGTAGAAGCCTTGGTGTCTGTCGCTCCCAGCTTCTCCGAGAAGATCCGCAGCGCTCTACGGAAATATCCCTCGGCTTCCTTGGCTCTGGTATTCATTTTCAAGATGCACAAGCCGAGCGAGTGTAAGGTTCTGGCCACGTCCAGATGCTCGTGGCCTTTCAAGCTCTCTCTGACGGCCAGGGCGCGCAAGTGAAACGACTCCGCTTCTTTCACCCTGCCCTCGCGAAACGCGCACAACGCGATCTGATGAAGCGTATCTGCGATGGCGGCGTCGTCAGAATCGAGAACTTTTTCTTCGATGGCCAATGTTCGCCTGAACCAACCCTCGGCTTCGGGTGTCCGCCCTGAAATCAACGCGTGCGCCCCGAGCGTATACATGGTCACGTGTACGTCCGGATGGTTCGCAGCGGAGTCCTCGCCCGAGGCGAGCAACTTCGACCAGGACATGCAGGCCGCATCGGGTTCATTTGTCAGCCACTGGAAGAACGCAATCCGACGAAGAAGCTGAAATGCGCCGGCATCCGAGAGGTCCATAGCGTCGACAGTTTCAGCGTAGGGTTGGCCAATATCTTCAGCCCCCTCGCCGATTTCCAGGCTCCATATAGTCTCCCAGATGTCCACAAGCTCCTCGGTACGCCAAGTTAACACTGCCTCTGCCGTGGATACGCGGTTCCGCCACCTTGCTAGAGCTGGGCCCAAGATAGCTGGGTCTTCGGATATACCCTGCCAGGCCATATCCGCGTGCGAGTGGTGTACCCGGTACCTTCCCCCTTCTGTTCTCACCAACACGGACCACTGTTCGAGGGTTGCCATGGCTAGTGTCGCCGCTTGAAGTTCTTCAGCCGAGCCGTCGCTCACAAGTGCGGTGACGTCGTCAACCGAAAAGGAAAGGTTGCGAGGTAGGACCCCCAAGGACAGGTAGAGCTCCTTGGTGCCCTGGTCAGCAAGCCCTAACCTGGTCACCCCGACCCGAAGCACGGCTGATCTCCAAGGCAGCAGCGCGGCTCCCTTCATGAAGTTCTGGGCGTCGATGACGTGGGCTAACACCGCCGCCCACGCTGCCTGGTCGTTTTTGCCGCGGACTATGTCCCATCTCCCCACGTAGGCGACGTCCATCGCCACGGATCCACCCCGTCGAATGATGTCATGAGCTGCATCCGGAAGCTTGGAATAGTCGAGGAGGGCGGCTGCCCTGCGGAGTAATTCTTCGGCCTCCCCCTCCGTGACCTCATCTACTCGTAGGACGGAACTACCGCCGCTGGCCGCCAGCAGATCCTCTTCGGACCGAGTGGTGTAGAGGATCGACGCCCCCGTGTTCCTCAGCTCCGCCAAAACCTCAGCTTCCCAGACATCATCGGCTACCACCAGCAACTCCCCGAAACCGCCACTGCTCCGTTCGCCCTCGTCCGCCGCTAGGATCTCACGAACGTACGCCGCCCCGTCCTCGGGTTCCACTCCGATGTCCGGCGTCCGAGGTGGTCTGAACGGGCCGTCGTCGGGGGACGACGACGAGTCTGCGAGCTCGTGCACCATGACGGCAAGACGGTACATGACGTCCAGAAGGCGGTCCCGCGCCCCCTGGCCAACGGAGAGCCAAACAACTCCCTTCTGGGAGAAATGCCCTCGCACGTCGTGCCGAGCGACGATCATCGAGGCAATGGTTGACTTTCCGGCGCCGCTTGGTCCCGCTACGCCGACCACCGGCGGCTCCCCCGAGGCTCTGCTGCGGCCACGATCGTTGACTCCGAGACGGTCGCATATCGCAGCAACTACCGGCTCACGTTGTATGAACCAGTCTTGAAGCAGTGGGGCCTCGGCAGGACTCTTGGCTATGCTGTCCAGCCTCTTCGTCCTTGTTTCCTCCTGCAGGGGGGTGCGAAATGGAGTTGAGCATTATCAAGAGTTTTACATGCTCTAGCTCTACTTTGTCATCAGGGTAGGCTTCAAAATCGCGCAAGGCTTCAACTTCAACGTTAACTTGAAACTTTATGATTTGCACGGGTTGTACATACGTCAAAGCACGCTAGAAGTATGGGCCTACAGCAGTAGCATTCGAAAAATTCCAGGGGTTGACTCGGTAACGGTTTTTATAGGCGCAACGGCAACGGTCATAATGTCAAACAACGGTAGTCTTTCCGGCGGTACGCAGAACTGTCATGTGTTTTCGGCGGTACCGACTGTGGTGTAGGCGGGAGAACAAAAAAAAACAGCAATGATGGCTCGGCGGCAATGCCATACGGCGGAAAAATCTCGGCGGTAGGCGGTATTTGAGTTTTTCGGCGGAAACGACCTTCGCGGAAGCGGTGACACAGAGAAACGGCGTAAACCGGCGGCAGTGCCGTCCAACAGGACGGAAATTTCACGGCGGCGATGAACGCCATGTGGTTGTAAGAATAAGACACCAACCAAGCGACCATTGCGGTGCTAAGCTAGGGTGCCCGAACGAAAGGTGCTTTTTGTTGTCCGACGGTTAATCTGTACACATGCTTGGAATTTTCACCAGCGATTTCCACGTGTTAACATCAAAACTTGAGGCAAACCAAGTAAAAACGATATAAGCGAGTATCCTGCATGGAATCGAACCCCTGCTTTGCTCGGGCAGTCGACGAGACGAGGCGTCTGCCCACTCAGCCCATCGGCCACTTTCCCGTTGGCGGTAAATGGCGGTAATTTGTCTCACATGGCGGTATTTTACGGTAGGCGGTATGGCATTTTTCGGTGGTAACGACTTTGGCGGAGGCGGTGAAACGAACATATGGCCGTACTTCTCTGCAGCAACGCCATACGACGGTAACGAATGTGGTGGAGGCGGCTAAACCGGCGGTATACCGGTACTTTCAAGGCGGTAAATTGCCGAGTAAACCCGTGAACATATTGAATTATTTCCCCACTCCAGACTTGAGCAATGCTGGGCTTAAATTGATGTTGAGCTGGGTGGCTACACACGTAATTTCTTCTTCGTTTCGGGTTCACTACCCATGCCTAGACCGTTTTCCTCAAAGGGGGCGTAAAATTGACGGCATCCAGGCAGAAGGGCACCCCGTTCGCGGCGGTACGTCAAAGCCCAAATAGCATTCCCATTTCTACAATATGGTTATGCTACGGACAACCCAAAACCCATGAACAACGGCCACAAAGCCTCACGCACACGGGACACAGAAGAGCTTGGGGAATCGCCATGAGCTTGACGCTTGACCGTTTCTACCACCACTTGGGGGGCCCACAGTACGCAATATGCCGGAGAACCTGGTGTGAAGAAGTGGAATTTTTCACGCAATGTACTTTTCCAGACGTAATGGACGAGCTCGACACGTCCGCTGAATAAGTTTTGTCACACCACGTACCTCGTTGGTCGGGCTGGTGGCATCCTCGACCCTTGTCCCATCCGTTTGTTTCCCCTCAGGTGAACGCTAAACGAACGGCAACAGAGGAAAATGTGCACGAAAATGCGCACAAGAACGTAGAGGAGAAGCATGAGCGCCACTGTCCGTGTTCTGTGCTCGACCCTTTTGGTCAGCTACGGGCTTAAACTTCACAGCTGATAAGCGTATGGATGTTGCTCGTCAGCACTAAGCAGCATACGTATGATATTCCTGGTCAACGTTGACTTGCTATATATGCACTGTGGGGGCTCCAGCAGTAGGTCGCTTGAGGTTCCAAGCTTTTCCAAGCATTCATCGTACTTCTCGACAACGGAAGGGGCGCGTCAGTCTTGGGCACGCTGTTGGCTGCCTGTTCACACTAAATTTTCAACATTGAACAGGCTCCCACAAGGTTGCACTTTGCCCCCAAGATTGTTCTAGGTGTTCATCAACGATCTGTTGAAAGTCGTAGATACAGTTGGGAAAGGGGTAAAGGTAGGGAAACTACGGCGTAGAGAATGCTGTTTGCGGGTGATGTTGTTGGGATGGCGGATACCCCTGAGGGACTTCAACCGCATATTGACGCAGCGAAGGATTTTGTTGGTGAGCGGAGATTGTCTGCTAACGTTAAGAAGAGTGCCGTCATGGTATGCAACGAGGACAGGGAGAAACCAATAGAGAAAAAGATGAAGGGGGGTAGGGGAGCTTGCAATAGTAGATCAGTACACATATCTCGGGGAAGAGATCGCAAAAGACTGCTGTAGATGGAATGCGCACATGACCAAGGTAGCGGAAAGGACAAAAGCACGAGCAGGGAAACTGTATCCAATAATAGCCAACCGGCACCTCGATACACGCACCAAATTGACAGTTTTGAAGAGCGTAATCGTACCGCCGCTAGAGTACGCCGGAAAAGCATGGGAAGGAAACATATACTAGAAGTAGTATTCAAAGAGCTCGAGGTAGCGCGGACGAAATCAGCAAAAATCATCCTAGGATGCTCCAAGAGCACAAGTAATGCAACCGTCAGGGCAGAACTGGGGATCCAATCCCTACCACCTGAAGAGACGCAAGGGAGCAAAAATGACAGTACCGCATGTGCGGTGTGGGAGAAGAGAGGTTGCCGGGAACAGCTTGGGATGCGAAGTGGGCACACAAAAAGAGGGGTAGACAACGAACGAAGTAGGTCAAGAGTAGATGACGTATGGAAGGGGTTCAAAATTGACGATGGCGATATGCTAACGGAGGGTCTAAAAGGGGTTCAAGGAGAAGATATCTGGTGTGTTTGCCTAGAAAGAAGAACAGAATCTAACCAAAGACACCAAGGATAAAGAGGGTCTGCATGTGTACGGAATGTTAAAAGAAGGCAAAGGGTTCAAGGATTACCTAAATGGACCAATGGATGCAAGGACAAAGCTGGAGGTCGAATTTAGGATCTGGGACATTGGTCTTCGAGAACGTAGACGAAGATTTCGAAAGGTAGACAATGAAGACGACAAGTTGAAATGTGAATGCGGCTCCGAGTGCGAAGACCGCGTTCATGTAGTTGCGGAATGTCCATTGTACAAGAAGGAGAAAGGAAGTGTACATGATTGAACTGGGAAAAGTAGAAGGAAGGTACAGGGAGATGTTTGAAGCTTAGCATTGCCAGTAGAAGACGGTAGCCATACTGGGGCATAGGGAGTGGGTTGAAGAGGCGGGAGGTGATGTCGATAGGATAGATGGGCTAGGGACAACATTTTTGAGCCACATTTGGCAAAGTAGGATGGGACGATTGGCCATCGGTGATCGGTCTTGTGGGAACATTTCTCCGTCCTCTCGAGGACGCATGGTCAATGGTCTAACCGCTAAGGCATGCAAACCAGAAGAGTTCGCCCCGCGTGCACAGGCGGTGAAGCAATTTCGAGAGTAGTCTCTGGGGAGGACCATCACGTGGCGATTCTTACCTCGGTTGTCGGGCTGGTGGCATCCTCGACCCTTGTTCCTTCCGTTTGTTTCTCGTCAGGTGAACGCTAAACGAACGAAAACAGAGGAAAATGTGCACAAGAACGTAGAGGAGAAGCATGAGCGCAACTGTTCGTGATTTATGTTCCGACCCCTTTGGTCAGATGGGGGCTCAAACTTCACAGCCGACAAGCGTATGGATGTGGCTCATCAGCACTATGCAGTATACGCATGATATTCCAGGTCAACGTCGACTTGCGATCAATGCACTGCTGAGAGGCTCCGTGTGATGTTGGAAGCTTTTCCAAGCTTTCTTCGTACTTCTCGGCAAGAGAGGTGACGCGTCAGTCTTGGGCACGCCTCACGAGAGTAGTCCCTGGGGAGGGACACCCCGTAGTGCCACGTACCTCGTTGGTCGGACTGGAGTAATCCTCGACACTCATTCCATCATTTTGTTTCTCCTCAGGTGAACGCTAAACGAACGAAAACAGAGGAAAATGTGCACAAGAACGTAAAGGAGAAGCATGAGCGCAACTGTTCGTGTTTATGTTCGACCCCTTTGGTCAGATGGGGGCTCAAACTTGACAGCCGACAAGCGTATGGATGTGACTCATCAGCACTATGCAGCAACCTATGATATTCCAGATCAACGTCGGCTTGCTAGGCACTGCGGAGGGCTCCAAAACAAGGTCGTCCGATGTTCCAAGCTTTTCCAAGCTTACTTCGTACTTCTCGGTAACCGAAGTGGCGGGTCAGTTTTGGGCACGCCTTACGCGCTTGTGACTGTCCCCGTTCAAAGACGGGGACGCAATACTGTAGGAGTCCCTGGGGAGTAAAAACATGCACGAAGGCATCGTGAAGTGCGAGAGGGTGGCAACACACAACATGCTTGTTTACCTCGTCCAGCGGTTCCATTGCGACATCCTCCGTTGAGTCTTTGTGTTCCCTTCTCTCATCCTTCTGGGGCTCCGAGCCGTCTTTGGCATCTTCCTCTGGGTGTTCCTCCCGCCCTTCTCCTTCCTCCTCTGTCGCTTCCTCCTCACGCTCACGGCAGCCCCCGTTCTCGGCCTTTGGGCCCTCTTCCTCGCCCTCCTCCCCAGGACGTTTTACCTGTCCGTTCCCTTCCTCCTCCGCTTTGTCTTCACGTCCCCCTCCGCCCTGCTTCTCGGGATCGTCCTCTTGCAGTTTCTCCTGCCCATCTTCCGCGCGTTTTTCATTCGGTGTTTCCCTCTCACGCTTGTCTTGCTCGAGTTGGACGCTACTCTGCTCCTGGCCCTCCTCCTTCTTTTTTGTCTGTTCTTCGCCAAAGGGCGGCGTTGGTATGCCAGCCTCCGATGGGGTTGACGTGTGTAGTCGCGGGGGGTCCCTCGGAACCTCCGCCTTTCCCCGTCTGTGCCTCTTCCCCAATTTCCGGAGGCTGTTCTTCATGGCCTTCATTTGTTTCTGCGGCCAACGGCAACGTTAGAGGATGTAAGACAAATGTATTAAACACTTGATTGTGACGGAGCACGAGCAAGGCGGTGGAACAGTAGTATTTGTTGGCGCCGCAGTGAAAAGGTAACTACATATTGGATGGCCGGTCTATCTACGGCAGGCGGAAGGAAGTAGTGCATCCTCGGGGTCCCGTCGTATTTTAGAAAATATGTATGCAATCACTGGACGACTACAAACCTGTTCGACATATTACCACCGTCGAAGGGATGCGATGAAGTCTGTGCAGTGGGTGGGAGGAAAACCAGCTGGATAATGGGCTTATTCTGAGTCTAGCTAAGCCTATGCACTGAAATGTTTTCAGTGATGCCAAATGGTGCTAATCACAAAAGCACATATAGGTTACAAAGATCCCTTGCAGTTTTCTCCCGACGTCCTCCCGGCAGACGCCGCACCATCCCGTGGAGCTGCCGAAATACACACAACTCGGCCGTCATAGGCGACACCATGGCGAACCAACTACCGCCAGACAGACAGTCAGACAGAGTCACTGCACCGCAGACCCGATGCGCATTGCATGCTGCCGACATGGTGCAACTTTTGCGTTATCTTAGATGTATATGCGTGAACCGAAGCATGCCGCTCTACATGCATGCATGCATGCTCATAAGTGACACATCAAGCCGGCGTGAGGAGGGTGAGGCGGTGAGTCTCAGGAGTGTGGCACAGACAGGGGGAGGCGGAGGTGATGGAGTTAGGGATGCTTCAAACGGCGTGGGAGCGTGAGTAGGAGCTGCAGCGCGTGGGTCCTGTGGACCGTGCTGCGGTGATTCGTTTGACGGGGAACGATCGACTCCGTCAACGACTGACTGCGATGTGTATCACAACTTGTTCGCGTGCTGAAGGGGTACACACATGCATGCCTCAGCTGTTTGCGGCGCTACGCTTCCCATGCACTCCCGGCAACTGAACTGGGCCAACCGCCTGTTCATGATGAGCGAGTACGTTCCTCCATCAGTATTCTCCATGACTACTTAGTCAGCTGGGGGTGAGGGTACAGGTAAGGTAGAGTAATAGTAGCCTTGTTGGGTTGGAGGCGGAAGGTCGGAAATAAGTATGTTTGGTGTTCCGAGTCGGCTCAACCATCTGTCTGCCGCCGCCGGCAAAGGGGCTCCGTCGTATTGAACGCAACTTTCTTGGAAAATTCCGCATGCTCAAGACCGAAAACATCACACTCGAGTCGTCGCAAGCAGTTTTGAAACACAATTCCGGTCTTGGTTTTGGACTTGCTTCCGACTTCAAAGACCAAGACCTGAGACCAATCCGCAAACACCCTAATGTTGATGTTTGCGGATTGTTTATTTGTTCAAACAAGCGTATAAGAAAACTTGTGTGCGGGTTTCATCCCGCCCCCGATGATCCGATGAGAACTGACTGCTCCCGTCTCGCTCTCGCTGCGGTGTGTGTCTCCCTCCCCCTTGTCCATGCCTGGCTCTGTGTGGTGTCTTACGTGAATCTGGTCTTCTATCGAAAGGTATGGTGAGTTAATCTGAGTGTAATACTCCAATCCATCTCGACGTTCAGAGGGAATAAATTCTAGTTTGAATGGCGTACAGCGGTACGAGCCCACAGTAAGTAGTTACGAACTATTTCGTAGAGAAACAGAGGGTGATAAATTCGCGAAAAATACGACAAAAAAGTGGATCAGAAACACACCTTTTTGAGGGTGGACTCTACCAATAGAATACACGTGGTTCATACCTTCTTACTTTCAAAATAGAATTAATTATTGATCAGTGGCCAAAATCGGGTACGCCCGCTCCTACCCGACCCTATAATATATATTCCCGCCGGGTGCACCCGATCTTGGCTACTCACCCCCCGGAGAAGGGTACCCGATTTTACTCTCCCCTACCCGATAATGGCTGGGGTCTTTGACCAACAGCCCACTAACAGACCACACTCGCTCACGAATACGTCAGCAACGCCCCGCACTCGAATTCCGGCAGTTATTCATCCACCCGCCTGGCCGCCTCTCTCCGAAACAAGAAACGAGTGTACCCGATTTTGGCCACTGCCAATTCAAAATAAATACAGCCGCAGCAGTTTCAAGTAGTACAGTACCTGGTACCATGCTCAAAGAAGAATACAGTGCGGCATCTTGTGTCTTGTCTGCATCTTACTTTGAAGTACCCCGGAGTATTTATTAGTGGATAAACCGCCATGCCATATATATATATATACTTGTATGTATCGTGAAGCTAACTTGTATGCATACAAGGTGTCTCTCAGCTCAGCATTATGCTGAAAGGGTGGTGGGTGAAGCGTGTGCACAGCATACGATCAAGGCACGAAGCAAGATGAAATAATATTCACTTCGACGCTACATACAGTAATTGGAGCTCATAACAAACACTAGTAGTGGGCCCTGTATAGTGCCGGGTGAAAAGTGCAACACAATCAGTCTGATATACATACCATAGTGCCGGTCAAATTTCAGGACACGGGTGTCTACTCCCATCCTAAAACCTATAATCCCTGTTCTGAATAGTGCCGGTGGCCCAGTATAGTGCCGGTAAAACCTCTGAACACATACCGGCACTATACAGGGTCCACTACTGCATATATCGTGAGACGCCACACGCTCTACTTTTATTTCCGTGGCCGCCCGTCTATGTGTGGCATGGAGCTCGCCACCTCGCTCAGTCTCAGCCCGGGGCGATCTCGGAAGGCTGGCTGTGGGCGTTCATCATCAGCATCACGTCCTGTTGTCTGTCAGCAGGCAAGTTGTTTATTATAATAGTTGCACAAAGGATCCTCCATCTATCTTGCTTGCCGTTCGCTACACACACAATACATACAACGGGAAGAGCCACAGCAGGCAGTTATTTATAATATTGCACAAAAGGATCCTCCATCCATCTTGCTTGCCGTTCGCTACAAACATACAATACATACAACAGGATGAGCCATACATAATGGTTGTTGCGTTCGATGCGGAAACAGGTCATCTTCATCATATATACGAATGCAAAGAAGCCGGCCACGAGAGGCAAGGCTACGCATCTTGTAGGCTACCTACTTAAGCAGAGCCCACGTGGTGTTGTGTGTTGTTCCTGCGGGGTTTACCCCTCCATGTAGTCTAATGTGTAGCGCCAAGTGCGAGACGGGAGGAGCAACCGTTAACGCGGTGGTGGTGGTTAGCATGCCGGAAAAAATACACCTACTACAATAATACTATAAAGAGTAGAGAGTCACATTAGCTGCTGATGCTGCAGCAGCGGCGCGGCGGCAGCGGGGCGTGCGAGGTTTATTCCGAAGTTCCAAAGTCAGGTCTATACCCCTTTCTCTCACTGCTGTAGTCGTGCTGCTCACGCAGGACTTTTTTTACTATTTCTACCGCTTTGGCAGACAACAGGGTGGGTGATGATCCTACCACGCCTAAAAAGGCGCAAGTCATCCCCTACCGCTTAGGGCAACGTCGGAGGCCCTATTCCCTCACGTTTCTCCAGATGCTCGCTTGCGCTTGCTTGGGGCAGCAGTGATGATGAAGAAGCGGAAGATTTTGTGTCGGGTGTCGGGTGGGGTGGTTGCCCAGAGAGAGATGTGCGGCCTGTTTTTGTGTAGATAAAACAAATGGTTGACGGGCCTGGAGAAATGGTTAAACCCACCGAAATTTCAATTTCCGAAATTCAAAGCCAAAAAAACAAGTATTCCCCCTGCTGTCTTCATATATTTGAATAAAAAAAGCGTGTCGCGTTCGCCGATGACCGAAAGAAACACAAGGTGGGAAGCTCTACAGCGCCCACGACCACGGGGCTGGGTCCAGCCAGCGTACCTCGGACAAGCAAAGGAGGGGGCTTCTTCCATGAGCGAGCGTGACCACATAAACGTCTCACGGCTCGGGGCATGCAAAGAGGCACATGGGCGAGTTGTCGGTTCGATTACTTGTTTGCACGCTCTTGTGTCTTTCTTCTCTTTGTCGGTCCGTGCACATACATATATATGCAGAGGTTCTGAAAATGACCGCGGTGTGGGACGCCGATGCCGGTACCTCAACCAACGGGGTTGAGAGGGCGAGAGGCAAGAGTGAGAGATACGGCCACGTCCTCACATATTTATTATGCATGTCTAAACGAGACGGGCTGCGCAATGGACGGGCGGAGGAGAGAGGGAGTAGATAGAGTCAGTCATTCAACGTGCGGATGAATGGGTGACTGCTGCTGTCAGCTGACTACAATCGTGACACAGCTGCTCTCTGCTATTTTTCCTGCCACCAAAAGATTCAAAATCTAACGGTTGGCGTCGGTCCTGTACCTGCATCATCATCATACATTCGTTTGAAAACTGTGAGGGAGATTGCATGCCCTACGACTAACAGGGTGCCACACACAAAACGCCCTACTACCCAACAGTACCCAACGCCTTTCTGCTGCACCTTCGCAACATAACATATATGAGACACACAAGACAGCTACCAAACTGTTTTGTCGAGCCTGTTACCCGCGGGAGATGTCCTATATAAATGCTGTCTGGGAAATCGTAGACACACATACATAAATACATCAATACAGGTAGCTTTTTCTGACGCTATGAATTCATTGCTAATCTGTCTCTTGTTGTTGTTGTTGTTGTTGTCTTCACATAAACCGTTCCGATCTCTCTCTACCCAGTACCTTCGTATGTCCGTACTGATCCAACACTCGACGCGGTCGATTCCCGTGGTCACAGGTTAACTTACCCTCAAAAGGTACACTCAAATAAACTGGTCCCGAGGGGTCCGCAAGTCAATAGAAATCATTATCATTGCAACGACAGATATTATTCTGGAATCCTCCACTCCCTCTGCGCGCTATGCGAGGTATCAACTGAGACTAGGAGTCACTATCATGGGCCGGAGAGAAAGAGGTACACCCCCTTGGTTCAATCTTGGTACTGCTTCACAACGCAAGCAAGCAGAGACAAGGCCATCTGGCACAGAAAAAGAGAGAAAAAAGAGAGAAAAA